TAGAATTTGATGTGGATTGTGTTTAGTCTATAGATTGTTTTTGGTGATTTGGCCATTTTCACAGCATTAATCTACCAATCCATGAGGTTTTCCATTTTCTGGTATATTCTTTGAAATCTTTCACTGCCTTAGATTAATTTGTTCCATGGGTAGTTTTGTTGTTCTTGTTTGTTTGTTGTTTGTTTTTGTTTTATTTTGTTTTGCTGTTTTGCTTTTGGATTGCTTTGTTTTGCTTGTTTTGAGGCTATTGTGATAGGAGTGTTTCTCTGATTTTTTTTCTTAGTATTTCTTATTAGTTTATGGGAAGGCTACTGTTTTAGTATACCACATTGCTTTGATCAATGTGTTTATCAGCTATTGGAGCATTTTGGTAAAGTCTTTTATATGTAGACTCCTATCATCTATAAAGATACTTTGACTTCTTCCTCTCCTGTTGGTCTTTATTTCATCCTCTTCGTTTGTCTTATTTCTCAAGCTATGACCACAGGGACTGATTATCCTGAACAGAGTGAAAAGACACACGTGTCTAGTTCCTGATTGTAGTGGGAATGCTTCACAGCTGTCACCATTTACCATATTGCTACATGAGGTATTGATAAATTGCTTTTATTGCGTTGAGAAGTGTCCCCCATCCCTGTATCTTCCAACATTATTATCACAAAATGATGTTGGATTTTGTAAAGGACATTTTCTACGCAATATCCCATATAAATAGACGCAATAGAGATCACATGATCATCTGATTAGATGCAAAAATGCACTAGGAAAGAACATAGAATGCAAATAAAATATCGTCTAACTAAGAATTATTGGAAAGGTAGAAATTATGCAGTAAAACTTGAAACATGAATTTGTGTGTCTAAAGGCACAAAAGTGGAGAATATTAGAAAAAAGAGACAATAAAGTCACACTGAAGACATCCTATGATTAAAGGAGTTATTTTTAAAATTGAATTTATTATAATGGGTCAGCAACAGCAAGAGGAGCAGAGGGATGGGACCCCAGACTTACTTGTTCTTTATGTGGATTTTTTGGGATCTGCCAGCCCTCAGGGGCTTCCTTCAGACCTGCCTTCAGCCAGATGTGCTTCAAATCTTTCTCAAATGTGATCTACTTTCTTTTCAGATGGCCTTCCCTAACTTTACACCATAGAAACTCATAGAATTGGGAGAGAGCCACAGTTACTGGAACCCCAACATTCAGTATCTGCAGTAGATATCAAACAGTCAGTCAGCTCTCTAGTGAACTTATGGTCATCTTCCTGGGGACCAGGAACTCCTCAAGCTCCTAACAGGACTCCTTAAGTGGGTGAGGTGGGGAAGGCAGCCAGACTTGGGTTTATAGACTGTACACTGTATAAAGGTTAAAATACAAGGCTGCTGATTACCCTTGAGCAAGACCAGGAATGGCTGAAACCTGCCCAGAGATCAGCCCTGATCAGCTCTGAAGTCATGCTTGTCAGAAACACAGTGAGTTGATAGCCTTGCTCCAAGTGCTCAGCAAACAGACATAGACCAACAGTCCCCTGCAGCCTCTCATCTTCCAAGCTCCCTCCCCAAAAGCCGTTCCTCTCAGGCTTCTCACTAGCAGACCCAACCCCCCAAAGGAGTTACTTTTAAGAGGATGGGAAAAATAAACAAGAAAAGTATCACAGAAATAAAGGATGTAAATAAAACTATATCTAGATACAAAGAGATCATCAAATTCCCAGGAAGCCTTTGAAGGAAAATGATTGGTTTTCCACTGAGGCACATGCATCAGTCTCTACTTTAGAACTGGCTCATTTCCAGAAAACCATAGAGGAATGGCAGCTAGGTCATCAGATACAATTCCATTCCATGTGGGAGACATGGGAACCAATACATCAGCCACACAGGAAAAATCAGAATAGTTTTCAACATAGGACTAGAATTGTTCAGTATGGAAGAAGAGCAGTGGTCCTCAACCTTCCTAGTCCTGTGACCCTTTAATATAGTTCCTCATGTTGTGGTGATCTAACCATAAAATTGCTTTTATTGCTACTTCATAACCATAACTTTGCTGCTGTTGTGATTTGTGATATAAATATTTGTGTTTTCCAATGGTCTTTGACAACCTCTGTGAAAGGGTCATTCAATTCCCTGAGAGCTCATGGGTCACAGGTTGAGAACTGTTGAACTAGATGTTTTTGTTTCTGTTTTTGTTTTTTCCATTCTTGTTCTGTGTGTGTGTGTGTGTGTGTGTGTGTGTGTGTGTGTGTGTGTGTATGAAGATATTGTGTTGCATCAAAAGCCAACTGAACTTTTATACTGTTGATATTTTTGAGGGGAGGATCTGAATTTTGTTCATAATGCCTGGAATCCAGGGTTTTGCTGAAATCCTCTCTAAGCTCATCTGCATCCCCAGTGAAGATTTTGAGAGAAGACAAATTAAAGTTTTACTCTCACCATACTCCAAGCTTCCAAAGAACAATTGGAAATTAAATAAATGTTCTTGAATTAAAGAGTGAAAGAATTAATGCTGTGGAATATAATAAATGTTTCTCATTCTTTATTGTCTACCCAACATCTTATATCCTTTGTTTCAAAAAGTTCATTCTGAAGCTTTGTGGTAGGGAAAAATAAATCCTTACAAAGTAATGAATGAGTCCACATGTTCCTGCACTTCCTGATCCCTTTCAGTTTATCTCAGGACAGAGTCTGTCAGAGAGACTCAGCATCTGAGAGACACAGGCCTAGAGATTAGGGGAAAAGATCAGGGTTTGAAAAAAAAAAGTTACTCCCTTTATTTCTCTCCTTCTCTTCCCTTCCCTTCCCTTCCCTTCCCTTCCCTTCCCTTCCCTTCCCTTCCCT